CTCAACTCAGCATCATTAAACTCAGTATTTCCCTTCAAGACCTCTCTTCTGCCACTTCTCCCAGCCCTGTGGATCACGTGTGTCTTTCAGGCCTGCTATGTGGGCAGACCTTTCAATTCAGGCTTCGTATTAGGTCACTTTTCTGTGACTTGCACATGTTTTCTATTTCACATCTGTATCCCCTCTGCCCACCCACACAGCTAACTCTTTTGTCCACTCGCTCACCATTTCACATGCCAGCTACTGCAGTGCTTTTCTCCAGCCCTGGCAATTTATGCACCCTAATCCCTTCCCGGACACTGTAGGAAAGGTAAGTTTCATAGCCATGTCATCTTTCTCCACACATTAGTAAAAAGCTATATTCTTTTTTTATCCAGTTGTACACAATTCATTTTTATTTTCTTTTTTAGCAGTATTTTAGCAGTTCATTATCACATTTATCTTCTCACATTCAAGAATGAAAGATCAGCTCCTGCTGCTTATCAGACTTGCCCCATCATCCACTTGATATATTTTTAGGAAGCACCTCATGTTTTTTCCTCATTGCCTCTAATGCTCGAAAAGAGCTCTCCGGAAACATTCACACAGCTATCTTATTGTCTTTCTTCAAATCGCCCCTCAGTACTCTCTGTTGTCAAGATGTCCCCAACCCAGTAGAGTAACTATCTCCTGTCATGTGGAACATTTTTTAATTCTCCTGTGTTTCCATCTCTGGACTCATATGTCATCTAATGATTTAGACTCTGTGTGCTTGAAACAGAGGGAGTATTTTTCTTCTGTATTTCAACAGCATGTAGCACAGTGAAATGCTGCTCTGTGATTACAATTTCTGTGTATTCATATGATAAAACAAAACTATCGTGACTATCAGAATTAATGCTTAGGATTGATATTTATAAAAATGTTAAGGAAGGTTAAGTCTTAAACAGGTTTCCTGCAATAAAAATTAAGAAGCTTACACATTTTATCTAAGAGAGCTTTTGTCCCTGATATCAGCAGGGAGCTAGAATAAGAAATGATGTCAGGGAACTGTATGCAAGGAATCCTTAAACATCACAACAGAGAAGCTTGATCCATGCTTTCTGTTTACTAACATGTATTGCCAAGAAAGAACACAATTATGTTTTCCCTATAGGTCAACCATATGCCAAGGTTTAGTCTTACAAGGTTTAATGAAGGCAAAATCTGATGCTGCAGCTATTTCTGTCAAAAAAGATTTATTGATTTATTGTGCTCCAAAAGCTAATGCAGTTTATTGTGCTGAAAAGACTCTTTAAAATAGGCATGGGGTGAATCCATGATGGATATCTGTCTTCACAGTCATTTAAGTTACATTGAACCCACCTATGATCTCAGTAGATTGAAGCCCTTAGAGTGACTATTACCATTATTCACGAAGTATATAAGCACAGTGACATAAAGAGGTGTGATGCATCCTTGAAGAGCTGAGTTTTGATGGTGGAGTGACTGAGAGCAGTCCCTGCATTCCAGATCGACCAGAGAAAAGGTGACTACTGTTCAACTAAAGAGGCAGCCCTGAAGTAAAAATATATGTTGAAAATTCCCATCTACAATAAAGCTTTTCTTGATGGCCAAGATCTCAAGAACTAGATGATAATTTACTATTATTCTGTGATGGATGAAGTCACTTCTTTGGTTCTGTTTGGTCTCTCAAATACCTATTGATATATTTAATTATTGAGTAACGCTTTGGTGATTGTTAAATATTGGTGGTGTGTCTAAAAACAGCTTTTTTGGAAAACTGAAGTTGTTATCTTACAAGTATCTTATAAGTTGCCAGGTATAAGGTATCTGATAAATCGCCAAACAAGCAAGCAGAAAGCACTGAATTTACAACAATGCTTAGGATCGATCCTGCCTTCAGGTTTGTCCACTGAACACACCAGTCACGATATTTCAGTATGTTAATGATACACATCTATATGTGTCTATAAATGTATATATCTATACCTGTACCTATATAGGAATCAGTCTGTGCTTTTCAGTTTGCTTCTTACCCTAGAAGAATGTTCAGACAATACTAAAAAGATAAGCATGCATTCTACAATGGGAAAGGAAGGTGGATGTAGAGAAACTTTACTTTTTATTCGCAACTTCCATACTAAAAATTGTCAAAATGGGCAAAGTGGGCAAATAATTCTAGAGGCTGATTTCCATGTTGGGAGCCAAAATCTAACATAAACAAAAGTCACTGCACAGCCGTGACTTAATAGTATCCTGTTTCTCTATCAAGCAGGGACTCCTGACTTCTGCTGCTTCTTCCTGAAGACAGAGAGCAGTGAACAAGCAGAGGAGCCAGCTGGCATGGAGAACAAGAAGTTGTTTCTCAAAGAGGACTTTACTTTCTGTGAGAGACAGCATTTGGGCTGAAGACTAACCCTGAGTGAAAGCTGGAAACCAGGAACATGGTCATGCTTTTTGAGAGGCAGGACTTCCAGATCCATTAAACTGGGAACTTAGTGGGAGCTGGGAGAGAAAAAGGTCTTAAAAACATCCTTTCCCACCCTACTATTTAGCAGTCTCTGGAACATGTATGCCAAGGCAGTCTTAAAGACAGCTGTTTCTAAACAACTGCTTTTGCTGAATTCTAAAATGCCCTCACGTGAGAGAAGGAATGATGGCACTTAATGTATACAAGTAGTAGTATGGCTATACCGGCCCATACCACCCCAGACTGACACTACGCATTTTGATTCTCTTTTTGTATCATCTTTGCTTTGTGCATGTTCACATGTGCGTGTATTTACCGGCATGTACACATGTAGGTTTGTAGCAAAGGAAGAAAGTTGATGGCCGTAGAGTGCTCTGTGCTTACTCTAATACATATCAGCACAGTTTTGCAGGCATAAATTACCCATAGGTAGCGCAGAATTAGCAGGTTAAAATAAAGTATTTTTTTCTGAGATTTTCTGCCATTCTTGTGTAGGTGAGAAGGGGTTCAAGGTATTCAGCAAATCTCAAACTCATTTTTTTGCTAATGAAGAAAGAAGGAACATTGTATTTCTCTTAATGCAAATTACATGGATTTTGTAATACAAAATGTCACTCATTTACATTAAAAATCATGGTTCAAATGAATTGTTGTAAAATGTATAAATCTAGAATATTATCTGATAAAACCAGAGCCAATTGTGTTGAAATGTTTCTGGACACAATACAGCAGGAGAGGTGCATGACCCCTCCACAATACAGCAGCACAACAGTTATTCACATGGAAAAAAAAAAAAAGGAAGACTCTGCTTATCCACGTCAATTGTCGATCAATATGCACATTTATCAGCCTACACAAAGTGGATTAAAAAAGAAAAAAAAGAAAGAATGAACTTTACTGCCACAAATGAAAGTAAAGATGGTTTTGATATTGATGAGATATCACTCAACAAAAGATTTTTCCCTGAAATAATAATTCAAGTGGGGAATATAATGAAGAATCTTACCATTTCTATTGTTTATTATAATCAAATCCAAACTCTAGTCTAAACCAATTTAAAAAATAATATGCTGTAGTTGCATGCATAATAATGAGTCAGGTTAGTGTGCTGCATCATTTAGTATGCAGAACAAGTTCACTGAAGCTGAGAGTGAAACTTGCTGAAATATGAAAGCACCACGATTGAAAGTAAAATAAGCTGCAGAGAACATAGACAATAAGCTAAGCAAAGGGAAAAAGTAGGGAAGACAAGTAGAGTCCTGGTACAGGAGGAAGAAGAATAGATGTATACAAACAGGAGTATATTTTACCTGTCATCCTCTTT